ATATTYTTCAAGAAGACAAACATCACACCAAATGAACCTTCAGAAATGTCGAAGATATAGTTGAAGATARAGACAAGCATTTTGTGATCTAAAGCGGATTCAGTGGTAACAAGCACGTCTACATCAAGTGTGAAGTCTAATCAAGATTCAGCAAACACTGAAGAAACTCTAGAGTTATGCTAGTGTCAGTGATCAAATGAATCTTGCTCCACAAGATTATTTTTTGTCTTATCCTCCATACCTCACACAGTAAAATACATGTACAAAATCACTCTATTGTCTCCAGTATTCTTACCCATATTGTGAAAAACTACTGTTCATATATGGCCAAAATTTTGTATATCTGAAGACAAAGGACAAACTTTTCACTAGAAGTTTGCCACGGGCTCTGTACCCTATGACTTGCATTAAACGCAATGGGTATAAATAGCCGAGAAGACTCTCTTCTCAAATGCGAAGGTGTAACACATTCTTAAGCAAACACTTTCTCTTTTGCTCTTATGTGTATCTTGTGTGCTTCCTAGATTGTTTAGATAAGTTATGCATCTTATCTTATTCCGCAAACAATCTGTAAATTCTGTATTGATATTCTCATATCAATAAAGGATTTAAACAAATGAAAACCGTGTGTTTGTATTCATCCCCCCCCCCCTCCTTCTACAAATTGTTACTTATAAACTCTAGTAGGTCTATTTGGTACCAACATCTGCCAATGAACCCTTTGTAGTGTTTAAATATTTTCAGTAATAGAGATACTGAACGTTTTTTAAATAAATAAATTTATGTACTTGTTGAATACTTAAGACATGTTGTCATGGATGGAAATGTTTAAATTACGTTAGTTATGCTACCAAAATTTTAATAAAAAAAATACTAACCGACTTTTAGTTCGTATTCATTTATTGTAGGACAATTATATCCACGAAATGATCGAGAAGCAGAAACCTAACACCAACACCCATCCACTTGGAGATATTGAAATATGGGAGTGTTATTCGTGAGGAAGGAAAAAGGGGTCCGATGTTTTGCATTGTACATGTGGAGATCCTGGCTATGTGGTAGCTGGTTCGTCATAAATGAGAAGCTTAAGAAAATAGAAGAGGAGTGAGCAGTCGAGAGAGAAGAAAACGCTCAGCGAGAGAAGGAAAATCATGATAGACTGAAGGCTATCGAGGCGATATTAGGTCGACAATACCCACCATCGTGTTTCCATGATCCCACTTGTCGTGCCCTCCTCCAATGGTCCTTAATAGACATATTAGTTGATTATGGTATGGATTTGATATATTATTATATTTGTATGGATATATGTATAGATTTGTAGGTAAATCTTAGGTTGAATTTCCTTATTTTGTATGCGATTTATACATATATACAGGTTAAATTAAAATGCAACAAATATGGGTTTTTAAAATGTCTTTTTTAAATTAAAAATCCAAAAGGCATCGGCTTACCGACGATTTTAACCGTATGTAAAAGTAGTTGGTGATTTTAGTGTCATCTACCATTTGGTGTAGTTAAGATTAATGCAAGACAAAATGAGTTTACTATTGGCTACAATTCAAGTTTGGAGGTGCGGAGCGCACACTCGGATAAGCTAATATGAACTCGGGAATACGGGGTCAAGGGAATGTTGAACCATCGCATCATTTATTTCCAAGTGAAATGAATCGTCACATCTTTTCCCAATAAATGCAACATTTCCCTCCTTAATTAACTAACACTTTTTTAGTTAATTAACCAAATTAACTACCAATTTTAGTTAATTAACCGAATTAACTACCTTTTGGTTAGTTAACCGAATTAACTATCACATACTGAACATTTTTTAAATAAATAAATTTATGTACTTGTTGAATACTTAAGACATGTTGTCATGGATGGAAATGTTTAAATTACGTTAGTTATGCTGCCAAAATTTAAAAAAAAATACTAACCGACTTTTAGTTCGTATTCATTTATTGTAGGACAATTATATCCACGAAATGATCGAGAAGCAKAAACCTAACACSAACACCCATCCACTTGGAGATATTGAAATATGGGAGTGTTATTCGTGAGGAAGGAAAAAGGGGTCCGATGTTTTGCATTGTACATGTGGAGATCCTGGCTATGTGGTAGCTGGTTCGTCATAAATGAGAAGCTTAAGAAAATAGAAGAGGAGTGAGCAGTCGAGAGAGAAGAAAACGCTCAGCGAGAGAAGGAAAATCATGATAGACTGAAGGCTATCGAGGCGATATTAGGTCGACAATACCCACCATCGTGTTTCCATGATCCCACTTGTCGTGCCCTCCTCCAATGGTCCTTAATAGACATATTAGTTGATTATGGTATGGATTTAATATATTATTATATTTGTATGGATATATGTATAGATTTGTAGGTAAATCTTAGGTTGAATTTCTTTATTTTGTATGCGATTTATACATATATAGAGGTTAAATTAAAATGCAACAAATATGGGTTTTTAAAATGTCTTTTTTAAATTAAAAATCCAAAAGGCATCGGCTTACCGACGATTTTAACCGTATGTAAAAGTTGTTGGTGATTTTAGTGTCATCTACCATTTGGTGTGGTTAAGATTAATGCAAGACAAAATGAGTTTACTATTGGCTACAATTCAAGTTTGGAGGTGCGGAGCGCACACTCGGATAAGCTAATATGAACTCGGGAATACGGGGTCAAGGGAATGTTGAACCATCGCATCATTTATTTCCAAGTGAAATGAATCGTCACATCATTTCCCAACAAATGCAACATTTCCCAACAAATGCAACATTTCCCTCCTTAATTAACTAACACTTTTTTAGTTAATTAACTGAATTAACTACCAATTTTAGTTAATTAACCGAATTAACTATCACCTTTTGGTTAGTTAACCGAATTAACTATCACATTTCCGAAAAGGTGTGTCTTTTGGTATTCTATACAAACCATGTTCTATATTTGCTAAAGACATACGAAAAACATACATTGTTTTTTCTCTGTCGAATTTGTCTCTACAAACATAATCTATAGCAAGGTATTTTGTGTTTTACTAATCTTGGATTTGTTTGAAATCCGGATTGAATTATTGGATTATCCCAAATCTGAATTCTTGTAACCCTAGGTTATAGGGTCGAATTACAGATTCTGGAAAGTGTTCCACACACGATCCAACTAATTAATAATAATGATTGGATATTATAATAAAAATGGAAAAAAGAAGGGTAAAAATGGATTTAGGATGAGGATGAGGATGAGAAGGAAAGAATTGGGAAAAGCAAAAGCAAAA